ACGCATGTGATTATTGTTCTGGTATTATAAACCATGAGTTGAACTGGCTAAAACGAAACCAGAGATTAAGTCAAAGACACCTCAGATAGATTGAGACTGACACCTCACACATTGCATCACAGGCAGACAAACTTGAATTGATTAACTGGGAACAGAGCCTGTGCTTGTGTGTGTGAGGCTGTGTAAGTGTGTAAGTGTGTAAGTGTGTGTGGAGGCCCTTGCCACTTTCGTTTGTGTGCCTCTTGCCTTCAAAACGGAAGTTCTTTTGTTAACTTTTACACACCACAAGTTTAAATTTTCGAGGCCCTCTGAAGTTCCAGTGGTTTCAAGGCCCGCGTGACGGCTCTCAGTGGGACACAACAACAGTCAAATGGACCCTTCAAATTAATTATATTGAGTATATTTTATTTTTTTTTTTTTAAACTTGAAACATGTTGAAAAATCATTATTTGGAAATATGTTGCATAGGTTTAACACGCAAAATTCGCAAAGCCTATGTACAATTCACTAGAAACCTGATCAGAATGCGTGTTCCACCACCCATTGCCTGAATCATGTCAATTCTGTAATTTCTTTTCTAATTTCAGCGTTTATCATCATGGAACTGGTGTGTCCCCTCCCTAAACGGGTTCTGTTTTAATACCTAAAAACAAATGGCCAGGTTTGTTGCAAACTGTGCATTAGTCATAAAGATTAGGGTGTCATTAGAGATATCATCAAGCCATAGAAGGCCTCACGTTTTAACAATAGGGTTGTTCTGCCATTAATGGTGTGGGTTGTCATGATATGTGCGGGGGTGTTACATGAAAGCGGTGAAGTGTCATGAATGAGGCGGGGGTTAAGGATACAGATAAGTTTGGATTCACATAAGTGGGGAGGGTTTTCAAGATACAAATCGGCTGTCGGGATCAGTGTAAGTTGACATAAGTGGGGTTATTTTTCAGGATACGAATTGAGTGTGGTGGGATTGAAGCGTTGTTGAAAGAAGTCATGCAATGCCGTGATAGTGTTGCCCTTTCATGATTTGGTTGCTGTTTAAATAGATGTTGGAACCAAGAAATAGATTTGGCGTATCAATAAGAAATGTGTTAGCGTTTTTACACCGCAATATTATTAATCATGTTTTCTCTTGCATCCGGCCGTCACAATATGACAATATTTACACTTAGCAGGACAAATTCACATGGCCTGGGATTTTTCATAAGCATCAATTTTTTAATTAATTATATAATCGGCTCATAAATTTATCTAGAAAGAGGGGTTGCCCGAATTTTTTAAAAATTTTTTATGAAAGTAAAATGCAGCCAGCTCTTTTCCATCGAGATAATATTACGGTCTAGCTTCCTGACATGTTTTACAAGGTTGTAAGAAAGTGTAATGCAACTGTCTAATTACATCCAAATGCTATATTGCACTGTTCTAACAATCTTTCTACATCCCATAGGTAATCTTGCACCGCTCTAACCAGCTTTTTACACCCCAATACAATCTTGAACTGCACTTCTATCTTTGTAACACAATCCTGGTTGATGAGTATGATTCGCATTTTGAAACATTGAGGATTTCAATTAAAATAATCATACACAAAATCATTTTTTTTAATATGGAATTTCAGTTTATTTTCCCCGAATTTTCAGAAGATCAAAGAAACGTGAACAGGTCTCTGAAAAATAATACAAAATTAGCCATCCAGCAAAAAAAAAAAAACACCAGAAAATTGTCTTTTCAGTGTTACCTTGCTGGTGTGAGAATCCATCGCCTAACAATCCACCACCGATTAGATAGACAACTCGAGAAAGCAGGAGCCATCACACAAACCAAAAGAACATTCACTTGAAGAACTATTTGAAGAAAAAATGTTGTACAACTTAAAAAAAAAAGATAATTACCAATTAAAAATTGTAAGATACATCCCAACACTCTTCCTGACAGACACCAGAGATCACTTTGAATTCTTTCCCCTTACACATAGGACCGAAACATTCTTGTCTTGAGAACCATTTGAGTATCGATGTCTTATGTTTACATTTTTCTATTTAAAAAAAAAAGGTTATCTTCCTTAGGATATTTTTTTTTTAATTTGCTGAAAAGTGAATATGCACAATGTCCTGACAAGAAAAAGAAATCCATTTATTTTTTTTTTCAATTAAAATAAATTAATCTAACCAAATCTAATGTTCACTTCTGCGAAGTATGTATGTGGTTGGCGCGCTCTCATGCTTCTGGTGGTTTAAGGGAAGTTTATGACTTGGGGGTTAAAAACACTGACTTTTAAGTACAGACAAGGTACACTCGGAAGTTTTGGAGTTTTGTATCAGCTTCGTGTTCCAGACATTTCTGAAACGAAAAAAAAAAATGTCCGTGGGGTGTAAGAAAAAAGTGTTTGGTAAGGATGACGTCAACGGGTGAAGGCTAAGGTGGAACAATCGATTGGGTTGAAAAGGCTAGAAGACATAATGGAAAGCGGAACGCCGGGGAGCGATCAAAGAGGGAGATTGTACGCTCTAGATCAGGGCAAAAAGCTAATGCATGAGTTAATGAGAGCAGAGCAGGGGCTGAAAGGGATCTTGATCTATGAGTTAAAATAGTTGATGTTGAGAGGAGCGACTTAAAGGTAAGGCATGCAGAAGGTGGGGAGGACATGGAGACAGTAGATGTAAAGTGGCTTAATGTTTAATAAATGTATACACTAGAAAGAACAAGTGTATGTAAAATAAAATATGTTTTGCAACTCTCTCTAATGTTAGGTTAAATAGAATACAAGACTTTAGATTATGCATCTTCAGTCTGGGACCCATTTACCCAGAAGAGCATTGACAGGTTGGAGGCGGTCCGGCGACGAGCAGCACGCTTTGTCCTAAACCGCTACAGGAATACCTCTAGTGTTGGCAGCATGTTAGAAACATTAGGCTGGTCACCATTGGAGAAACGACGACGACAATCCAGGCTCTACATGATGTTCAACATAAATAATGGGCTGGTCCACTGTTCCAGTATTAAACAGAAACTCGTCCCTCTCCCCCATAGACAGCGACGAGGCCATGATAGGCAATTCAGGCTCCTACCAGCAAGAAGCCAGTATAAGAGCTGCTCATTCCTGCCCAAGACAATCAGGGACTGCAACAATCTTTCAAAAGGAACGGTTGAGGCGACAACACTAGACGTGTCTATTAAATTTGTCTATTGCCTCGAGCCTTCAAACCCCTAGTGCATGATTTCCTCATCAACACCAGTAACAGAAACATTGCAAATCCCATCTACATGTATAGGAGCCAAAATGTTCAATAAATTGATCGTGGGCCCTTAAGATATAGAAGAAGAAGAAGAGACTCGTCTAATCTGCAATTTCCTTAAATATTCCCCTTGATTTTGATTTTTGATTAATTTAATGTCACATTGTATCAGTCTTGTGAGATTTTGGGGAATGCATAACTCCTGCAGTCTCTTATAGATATTTTCTTTTGATGCTTTCATAGGTCAATTAAGTGTACACATTGAGTTGATGTACTGGCTAGGTCCTTTTTTAACCGTCTAGATGGCATTGCACCCTAGCCCCGGAGGCCATAAACTGCTTGCTAACCGAGTGGCCGGAGATGGACACTTGGTGGGTCTTACTTTGCAGCAAATTTTAAAGTACAATCAAATAGATGACATCGATAGTAACAGAAAACTTGAAGAAAAAGTAACTTTGCCACCCACCCTTTATTTCTTAAAGTATAAATTTAAACGAGAGCAGCTGAATGTGAAATCCCTCTGACTGTGTTAGGTTCCTCCAAGTTTCAGCCGTCATGTCATTTAAGTGTGGGATTAAAATATTTTCAAAAAAGAAGCTGATTGAGTAGTTCGTGCGAGTTTCACCCTATATGTAGGATGCTTCTATCTATATCTGTGTTTATTTAAATGGTGTGTAGTGACTAGACTAGCTGCTGGGTCTTGAAATGGTCGCAGGTTAGGCGCATGTTACCTAACTAAAATCTGTAGGCCCCTATAAAGGTCGAAAATAACAACTGATACTCTAGCTAATCTAAAGTTATCAAAAGGCACAGCTTGATAGCTGCTCCTCATTGACACCAGCAAATTTTTAAGCTGGTCGATCCTTTCACTACATTGCAGTTATTGGATTTTCTGTCCCGTACGAGCGACTGGTGCGTAAGAAATAAATATTTTAACAAAATATAACAAAAGAAACTTCGAGTCCTTTAAAAGGAAATGAGGCTTTTTTTTTACTTTTTTGTCAAATAAATGAATTAAAAGAAATTCGCTGGTAAAATGTTACATAAAGACTTGATAAGTGCAAAACGTTTATTTGTATAAGCCATGTGTACACTTATACAAATAGTACATTGCACCCGTGAGGTTCACCTGTATTGAATGCACGAGGCAGGATTAGATCCGATTACAAAGACAGATCATTTATACTATCTATGTGTATAGAAGATGACGATTATGATGTGCTTGAGCGTTATGTAGACTTAATGGCTATTTTTTTAAAGAATTTTTTTTTTTTTTTTTGGGGGGGGGGGTGGTAACAAGATTAGCACCGCCCTTTGTATCCTACAGTACTCGCTGGGTGATTGGTTGCCAGAAGGTGGTTGAAACAAGAAACGGTATATTAAAACCATGAATGCGCGCGCGCACGTGTAAGTGTGTGAGAGAGAGACAGACGTGTGCGTTGATTAATATTAATGACGTCGCTAATGACACAGATCTCATCTAATGAATGTAGACTTACACATTCCCGCCTACAAAAAATTATCACGCGACTTCCCTGTTAATCATTTCTAATTACCATTATTAAGCGGGAATGGTATAGATCTAACCCTGAAAATTTGCAAGGAAGTCGAGGCTGGCATACACAATTATTTTCTAATCCCTTTCATATCATCTTATGGAAACTAATGATTTAACATAAATGGGCGTCGTCTCGTGTATTCGGAGGACACGCTGATAATTGCACAATGGATGCACCAGAGGACATAGCCAGAGCGCAAGAGACGGACATGATAAGTGACGGGTTGCTGTCCACATTTATCACCGTCAACCTGGTCGTCGTCTCCGCAGTTTTGGGCGTTGCGGGGATCGTGTTCAACATCCTCAACATCATCGTCTTCTTCAGCCTCGGGTTCTCGGACACCACCAACATCTCCCTGCTGGGCCTGGCCGTGGCGGACGTCGGTGTCCTCTTGAGCATGGTTGGCTACAGCGTCCTCTACAACCCGCTGACGCTGCAGGTCACCGCCTTTGAAACCGTCGACGCCGTCAACTACGTCGTTGTCGGCACCATCCACGTCCTGTTTTGTAGAATAGCCGGGTGTCTGACGGCTTTTATAGCGGTCGAGAGGTTCATGTGTGTGGCGTTTCCGCTCAACATTAAATCCATCGTCACGCCCAAAAGGACGTTTTTTGTAGTGACTAGCATCTATGTCTTCCTCGTGTCCAGCACGCTGCCCCAGTTTCTAGCCAACCAGATCGCCCCGAGGTTCAACCCGCAGTTTAACATCACAGTAATTGGGATAGTCTTATCCCCGCACGCTGACCAGCTGGAGAATTTCACGCTGACCGTCGACATCGTCGCCCAAGTTGCGTCCTTTGTCGTCGTCGTAGCGTCCACCCTCGGTTTGGTGAGGTCGCTCGTCAGTGTAGCAAAATGGAGGAGTTCCACGTCATCATCTTCCCAGTCTCTAAAAGTGTCCGGTCGTGACAAGCAACTGGTCAAGATGGTGCTCCTCATATCAGTCGTCTTCATCTGCTGCTCGCTGCCCACGGTGGTCGGCAACTTGGTGATGGTATTCGTCAAGGACTTCAACATCAAGGGAAGGAACAAGAATTTATTCATTTTTGTCTGTGTCATATTTTTCATCTTGGACGCCATCAACTCTACCATTAACATCTTCATCTATTTGAGAATGAGTTCAAAGTTTAGGGAAAAATTCTGGTCAATTTTTCAATGCGATTTTGAGGTTAAAAGCAAAAGTCGTACTAAGTAGATCGATGTTTGTAGAGTAGTCAAACCCTTTTTAAAAAATTCGCAAACAACAATTTTTTTTTACATTCTTCTTTAAGAAAGCTATACATAACATGCTTCTTTGTTTGGAATAAGACAAAACACAAAAATTAGGTCACGAGACACTTTGATCTCAATATATGTATTAATTGAATTGTCGTTTTGCGTACAGAATAGACGATAATAAATGAAGGACTGCGTTTAACCTTTGTCGCTTACATTTGTATTTTTAAAAGGAAGTTTTTCAGTTTTTTTTGTTGTTTTTTTTAACTTTCTTATTATTTCTTCCTGTCCAAGGGAAAACTACAAGAAAGTGCTGTAACCTTATTGAGAATTAACTCTAAACCAAATGTGAAATAACACATTTATTTCTGGTCTTTCTTTGATACTCCCCTCGTCTCTATTTTACCACTATATGTCAATTCACTCCCTGGGCCCAACCTCCCTATACCCCTCCCTCCCCATCTCTTTTCCTTTCCAATTTCCCACCTCTCCCACTTTCTCTCCCTATCTCTCACGCTTCCTCTCCCATGCGTTAAATTAACTCACATTAAATCTATGAACACACAACTTATAGCTTAATTCGTTATTACATTATTACAAAATATGTCTATGGAAGAACAAAAACCTATCTTTTAGTTGCTATCCTGATATGTGTAGTGTGATGTTTTTTCTTATAACCTACTATTTTCTGCTTTTTTTTTTCAAACATTTATTAACAATGGTACATTTTAAATATAGAAATAATTACTGTAAAGTTTTCTTTTGAAAACTGATTTCTGAGAGATTAAATGTATCCAACGCTCATGTTCTTTTACTGTAACATTGCTCTGTTAGTCATTTGCCGAATACAGCCGGTGCTTTCGCCGAATCCAGCCGTTGCTTTCGCCGAATCCAGCCGTTGCTTTCGCCGAATCCAGCCGTTGCTTTCGCCGAATCCAGCCAGTGTTTCCGCCGAATACAGCCAGTGCTTACGCCGAATACAGCAGGTGCTTACGCCGAATACAGCCGTTGCTTACGCCAAATACAGCCGGTGCTTACGCCGAATACAGCCGGTGCTTACGCCGAATACAGCCGGTGCTTACGCCGAATACAGCCGGTGCTTACGCTGAATACAGGCGGTGGTTACACCGAATACAGGCGGTGGTAACGCCGAATACAGGCGGTGGTAACGCCGAATACAGGCGGTGGTTACGCCGAATACAGGCGGTGGTTACGCCGAATACAGGCGGTGGTTACGCCGAATACAGGCGGTGGTTACACCGAATACAGGCGGTGGTTACGCCAAATACAGCCTGTGCTTACGCCGAATACAGGTCTGTGGTTACGCTGAATACAGGCGGTGGTTACACCGAATACAGGCGGTGGTTACACCGAATACATGCGGTGGTTACGCCGAGTACAGTGAGTGATTTCTTTGAATACTGTGAGTGATTATGTTGACTTCTGCCAGAGATTTCCAGCCTAAGAAGGAAAAACAATTAATCACGTTTATTTAATCCTTTATATTCACTTCGCTTTTGTACGTGGTTGGCTAGCTGTTTGGCTGGCTGGCAAAATCTTAGGATGGATAATTGACCCACTTACCGCCATCCTATCGCGCTGAAGCTGGACACATAGACCCGATTGCAACACATTCTTTGGAATGCTCAGCCCCCAACCTCCAAAAAATCCGTGTTCCTGTTTCTCAAAAGGGAGGATGAAGAAAATATGATGTCACCGATTTCAAGAAATAAAATTCCTGCTCACTGCGCTCAATGAGATTCTTGAAGAAAACTATTGGCAGTGCGTTTGATGCGTAATATTTTGGTTTGTTTTCCTGAACAAGTTGGTGAAATAAACCTGCGCTGCAAGTCTGGTGGGTCAACAGAGTATCAATATAGTTCAGGGGCGTGGAAAAAAAATTGATTCAGTTGAAAAACGTGTGGGCAGGAGTGGGGGAGAGCACTCATATTGGGATTCTTGTAAAATGTGTTACTTGTGTGCATGTTTTGTCAAACTTTCAAGCTTGCCTCCCTTTGCTCGAAATTACTTTTCTAAAGGATTTATACTGTAAAGCTCAGTTTTTACGGGTTGTTTAATTACTTTTTTTTTCTTCTTAAATTACGACCTTTGAATTCTAGAACTAATTTTGTTGTTGTACAGTGAGGTCGTTGAAGTAGACTGAGACCAGTGACGTAAGCTGAAGCCTGCAAATTAGATTTAGACCAGTGAAGTTAGCTGAGACCAGTGAAGTAAGCTAAAGACAGTGACATATGCTGAGACTAGTTAATTAAGCTGAGGCCAGTGAAGTAATGTGAAACCATTGAAGTAAGCTGAGACTAGTCAATTAGGATGAGCTCAGTGGAGTAATGTGAAACCATTGAAGTAAGCTGAGACTAGTCAATTAGGATGAGATCAGTGGAGTAAAGTGAAACCATTGAAGTAAGCTGAGACTAGTTAATTAGGATGAGATCAGTGGAGTAATGTGAAACCATTGAAGTAAGCTGAGACTAGTCAATTAGGATGAGATCAGTGGAGTAATGTGAAACCATTGAAGTAAGCTGAGACTAGTCAATTAGGATGAGATCAGTGGAGTAATGTGAAACCATTGAAGTAAGCTGAGACTAGTCAATTAGGAGACCATAAAAGTAGGCTGACACCATAATATTAGGCTGAGACCAGTGAGTAGGTTTAAACTAATGAAGTAAGCAAAGACAAGTTAAAGATGGATGAGACCAGTAGAGAAGTAGGATGGGACCAGAAAAGTAGGCTGAGGCCAGTAAAGCAGGAGTCGACCAGAAGAGTAGGCTTTGACCAGTAAAGTAGGATGAGACGAGTGAAGTAAGCACAGACAAGTTAAAATAGGTTGAGACCAGTAAAATATACTGCTGAATCCATTAAAGTTGAGACCAGTAATGTAGGCTAAAACCAGACAAGTAGGCTGAGACCACTAAAGTAGGTTGAGACCAGTAATGTATAGTCATTGTTACGTATGTTGATGTGGAAACTTACGACCTGTTGCACTTGCCTCTATTGTAATGAAATGTTGTGAGAAAATAGCTCTGAAAGAAATTTTGAATGAAGTACATCGAAAACTTGAACCCCCCCCCCCCCCCCTTTCCCTCTGAAAGAAATTTTGAATGAAGTACATCGAAAACTTGAACCCCCCCCCCCACTTTGCCTACAATCCTGCCAGAAATACGGAGGATCCAATCTTACTATTGTTGGAGAAACTTTGCCATCACCTAGACAGTCCTAAAACATATCCCAGAGTGCTTTTCTTAGACTTCTCTTCAGCATTTAACACTATCCAACCACACCTTAATGATAAAGAAACTTTCCTCGTTGGGTGTCAATTAAAATATTCAGGATGGAAACTGAACTTTTTAACAAATCGACCACAATATGTCAAAGTAAATAACCAAGTAACTCTAACCAGAGATATAAGAACCGGGGCACTACAATCATGCGTTGTCTCCTCTGTACTGTATACAATATATACCAATTATATTCAAAGCTCAAGCGACACCGTTCCAATCTTAAAATTTGCTGATGATACCACCATCGTTGGCTTAATATCTAGAAGGTCTATACCGGATCTTAGTTACAAGCTTTATCAATTGGTGCGATGAAAATTTTTCTCCAGTTTAATGTCTCAAAAACAAAGAGAATGGTATTTGATTTCAGGAGGGGGAAACACCAGATTACAGATCTCAACATAGAGAAAGTACAAGATAAAATAGAGAATAAGAGAGAAAATACAAGTACTTATGTGTCACCATTGATAATAAGCTAACATGGCATGAGCACGGCCAAATGCTGTAGAAAAAATTCAACCAAAGACTGTTCTACCTCAAAAAACTGTACAATTTCGGCGTAAACAAGCAAGTCGTTAACTTATTCTATAGTGCAACTATTGGAAGCCTCCTTAATTTCAGTATTGCCTGCTGGTGTGGGAATTCAACGTCTGATATTAAACACCGCATAAACCGACTAATCAAGAAAGCTAGAAACATAACACAAATTAAACATCTTTCACTTGAAGAACTATTTGAAGAAAGATGTTATTGTAAAACCAAACAAATTTTGGATGATACATCCCACCCTATTCATCACAGATACTTAGGATCATGCAGATCGGGACGAATTCTTTCCATCAGGGCGAGGACTGACCGATATAAAAATTCTTTTGTTCCCCAATCTGTACGAATTTACCGGCGTGCTTCCTCTGAAGTCACACATCTTAATGAGAACTAAAAAGTCCTCGATTTCGCTAAGAGAACTCACTGAATGGCTTTTTGAAAAAAATTATTATAAATGTCTTGTGTTCAAATTGTTTTATTTATGTGCTGAAAATGTATAATGCAATCATAAAAAATTTCCATTTGTTTGAATCAATAAAAGAATCTTATCTTATATTATATATCCTATTGTGTAAACTAAACTATTCAGTGCATTATGTTTGGTCTTATGTAAACTTGTCAGTGTTATGAACATTTTGTTGGACTCTTTTGCTAGTTATTTTTGGTTGATGATCTCAGTTGGGTCCTTTTAATTAGTTATTCTTCTCAATCCCGTGTCTAGGGGGAGAAAGTCAAATTATCTTTAACCAAGGAGTAATGCAAACACTTGCTATCAATAATTATGGACTTTTTTTAAGGCAACTGGACACTACCGGACTAGGGCGGCGCATTTGAATCTGGACGAATCTAAAATTAAATGTGTGTGAATTTGGAAACTGATGACATCTCGTTGTCTTGGGACTTCCTTTGACGACCTCATAGCAAGAACTAATAAAATAGAATGTGCTTAAATAACAAGAATTGATAACATTTCACTTACAACAATAACTTATAGAATTAGAGTCACCACCACGAGATTCCGGTAACCCTGATGTGGAGGTAACACTGCCAGGCAGGTGCATTCTTAAACTGGGCCGTCAGACACAGGGACCCTATCTTTCGGCGTATGACCCAAGCCTGGTAGACGATAAAACACTTGTTCCATGAGCGCATCATACTTGACCTTTGTGGCTATACTAGAGCAGGGTCCAACTTTGTATGTAACACAGCCCTACGAATGAAGTTTGTTTCCAAAAGTTAAGCTTGACCCAAATTGTTGATCAACTTTACTTCATTGTTTTGGGCCACATTTGTCAAGTATGGATGATGCACCTAACAATATCATTGTTGTTGACCTAAATACAGCAATATACTGGTTTTCCATCCAGATAGAAGAGACGCACTAGTTCAATTTGCAATTTTCACGGGTGTGTCGTGTCGCAAAGATATGGCGAAAACACTTTCAGACTTATTCATTTTTTAACTTAATTTTTATCCGTGGCTTTCTTTCCCCCCATGGAATTCTTCCTCTGCTCACCGGTGGGTTATGTCATCCCCTTTTGGCTGCACACCTTCACAGGCACTAAATTCAGATGTGTTTTTTTTTTTTTTGCTTTTTGTTTTTTGTTGGTCAAATCTTGGTGTTTTTTTGTATCTGGGCGTAGGACACAGAGACGGTAAGGTGGGCCGGAATGGCTGTAGTCATACCTAGACCTGGTGGGTTATGTCATCCCCTTTTGGCTGCACACCTTCACAGGCACTAAATTCAGATGTGTTTTTTTTTTTTTTGCTTTTTGTTTTTTGTTGGTCAAATCTTGGTGTTTTTTTGTAACTGGGCGTAGGACACAGAGACGGTAAGGTGGGCCGGAATGGCTGTAGTCATACCTAGACCATTCAAAGTGCTCGCTTGCAGCTGAGCCCCATTGAATACAATGATATATAAACAAGGCCTTATGCAACTGAAGAGTGAAAACACATGTCTGTGTCCCACGATGACATGACACATGCCGGTGTCCCTCGATGACATGACACATGCCTGCGTCCCTCGATGACATGACACATTGTCTGTGTCCCACGATGACATGACACATGCCGGTGTCCCTCGATGACATGACACATGCCTGCGTCCCTCGATGACATGACACATTGTCTGTGTCACTCGATGACATGGGATGGAGGGAAAGCCACACACCACGCCAACAAACTATTATTTGACCGTTATCAATAAACACAGCAACAGACACAGAAGGGGTGGGGTGGGGGGGGGAGATCATTGAGAAGACCATCCTAAAGAAAACACCAACTATATAATTAAAGCCTCGTGTTTAAATGCATATACAACGGACTGACCTTTAAATATAAGTACCTACACGATACGCAAATGTTCACGTCGTGTGACGGGTTGACTACCACCTATGCTCCTTCAGTTTGCCCAAATCGTTGTGTTTGATTAATCATATAGCTTGTTTATCCCCTACTCCCCTTTTTCTCGTCATTTAAAGCTGTCTGGTGAATTATAGATTTGTTTTTAATCTAACCTACCATTTAAACTCTTCGCCCAAAGCCCCGCCTCTCTCCCCCCTCCCCCTAGTTTTCAAATCTACCTCAAGTCATATGGGCGTGACATAAATAAAGGATATTGACCATGTCGACTCAGTAGGAAATGACATAAAACTATAAATAAGTGTATGTGGTCGGTACGTAATTTAGGAGAGGTGGGTTGTTTTTTTTTGGTTTTCAATCATGTTATAAAGTATTATATTTTAAAGATAACGGTGTAACAGATACATTAAACCTTTTATTAGTGGAGGTACGGAAACATTATTTACCAGCGACATGAAATAGGATAAAAGTATGTTGTTATTTTTTTTATTAAACATCAATTTAAGACAACAATGAATTTAAAAAAAATAAAAAATTTAAAGATATATAATGAAGGTATTTCAAGACATGAATGTACTTTATTTCACAACACAGAAAGTTTTCGAATATTTCAAGCAAGTCATGACTGGTATTGGTGCACAAAGCACTGCAACTCTTTATAATAAAACAAGAAATGACATTAAAATGTAACTCAACATAAGCGTCGAATGATATTAAACTCAAACTTGTAACACTCGCAATAAACTAATTTTTTTATTAATTGCTTTTTCCATGAGCTTATTCATACAATGAACATGACCTACTTTGACAACGTCAGCTCCAGGCCTGAGCTCCGTCAAAAAGTCGCCGACGGCGTGATCGTCATGATGAGTGATGACGCCTTGCGGCTAATCCAGTTTTCCCTCGTCGTCGCGGCGCCCGCCGTAGCTCTGCCCGGCATCGCGCTCAACATCGTCAACGTCATCGTCTTCATCAGACTAGGGTTGTCGGACACCACCAACATCTCGCTCCTGGGCCTCGCCGTGGCGGACATCGGGGTCCTCCTGACCATGGTCGGATTCAGCGTCATCTACAACCCGTGCATGCCCGGCGACGTCCGCTACGTCGAGTTCGTCCGGGCGTTCGACTACGTCGTGCTGGGCGTGACCCGCGTCTTGTTCAGCCGGATCGCTGGCTGTCTGATGGCGTTCGTCACCTTGGAGCGATTCCTCTGCATCTCCAGGCCGCTGCACGTCAAGTCGATCATAACGCCGGGGAGAACTAGTTTCATCGTGGTCGGTGTTTACGTCGTAATGCTCACCAACACCGTCCCGGCGTTCATCGCTGACCGGATAGCGCCCAAGTTTATTCCGCATCTTAACGCGACGGTTCTCGGGCTGGTCTTCGCATCGGACGCCGAAGAGCTGGAGAACATAACCTTGACCTTGAACGTCACCGCCCAGGTGACGTCATTTTTCGTGGTAGTTGTGTCCACTCTCTCCATGATCAGGTCGCTCGGGAGAGGAGCCCTTTGGCGGAAGTCGACCGCCGTGAAGATCAGACACGTGTCCGTTCGCGATAAACAGCTCGTCAAAATGGTCATCGTCGTAGCCATGGTCTTTATCGTTTGCTTCTCTCCGACGATATTCGTCAATTCACTCATGCGAATCGTCAGCGATTTCAACATCAAGGGCAAAGAGCGGAACCTTTTCATCGCGTGCTGCTACCTGTGTTACCTGATGAGATCGATCAACTCCGCCGTCAACACGTTCGTCTACCTGTCGATGAGCACGAAGTTCCAGCTCAAGTGTTTTAATCTTGTGAAGTGGAGATCGAATTCGACCACATGTAAATGATGTAAATGTGATGTAGTGGCTGCGATAAAGTAAACCAAAATTAAATATTCACTGACATTGTAAATGAGGGGAAATTTAAGTTTGTGTAAAGGTGTACATTTGAACTTGAAAAAATTAAGTTTGGAATTTATCTTTTTCTTTGTACTCAAAATCTCAAAATAGTCTGCTTTTTTTAATGGTCTGGTCTCCTTGGATTCAGTATGTTAAATATAAAATTATATTACATTACTGGACAAAGTGTATACAAACATATGTCTGAAAGGCATTGGTAGAAGAAATGTAAACATATTTTGCATGATAAGTTATTTCTTTGTCATTTATTTTCAAAGAATCAAGCGAGTGCAACAAATTGGCTTTTTTTTAAAATGTAAGACATCTTAAATTGACCAACACTTACTAGTTCCCAGTTGTCTGAGCCGGACCATAAAATTTTGATACCGAAAGTAAACAATCTTTTAATGTTTCAATGTTAACAGTCGTTTTTCCAAGTACTTTGTTTTCACTCGATGTTATAAGATCTACTTTATCAGCTTATGTTTTGTTTACATGAAGTACGCAGTGGTCAACTTGTACCCAATTCTCTTGCAGTTAACAGCTAGATTTACCGAGATTCAAGACATCCCTTTATTTCAACCGTCACAATTCTAGGTTTATAGCTTGATTTTTTTTTTAAAATATACCACGCAAATCGCTATACCATTATTGACGGTAACCAAATTCTCCTATACCAAACTCATCGGTTATCAATCTATCCTTTACTGTACTATTTTAAAAGTGACAAAATCCATTTAAGAACACGAGAAATCATGAAGTTGAGGGCAATCAAAGAAATGTATTTATTTAGCATAGTCTAAATGTCACACGACTTTTTTTTTAAAATGTCCAACTCAATCTCAAATGTAGTCTTTAGTTCTATAGTAACATATTAAAAGCCTTGCACAAGTGTTCCTATTTTAAAAGTATCTATTTGATGGATTGACTTTGAAACACACTTCAATCTACTTTAAACGACATATTCTCTTATCCTTGGACCTGCACTGAAAAACTGACCAGAACTTTTCCCTGAACTTTGAACTCATTCTCAAGTAGATGAAGATGTTAATGATAGAGTTGATAGCGTCCAAGATGAAGAATATGACGCAGACAAAAATAAATAAGTTCTTGTTACTTCCCTTGACGTTGAAGTCTTTGACGAATACCATCACCAAGTTGCCGACAACGGTGGGCAGCGAGCAGGCGATGAAGACGACCGATATGAGGAGGACCATCTTGACCAGTTGCTTGTCACGACCGGAGACTTTAAGAGATAGGGCAGACGATGACGTGGAACTCCTCCATTTCGCCACACTGACGAGCGACCTCACCAGACCAAGGGTGGACGCCACGACGATGACGAATGATGCAACTTGGGCGACGATGTCCACGGTCAGCGTGAAATTCTCCAGCTGGTCAGCGCTCGGGGATAACACTATCCCGATCACTGTGATGTTAAACTGCGCGTTAAACCTCGGGGCTATCTGGTTGGCTAAATACTGGGGCAGCGTGCTGGCCACGAGGGTGGCATAGATGCCGACTACTACCAAAATCGTCCTTTTATGCGTGACTATGGCTTTGACATGAAGCGGGAACGCTACACACATGAACCTCTCGAACGTTATGAAAGCCGTTAAACACCCGGCTATTCTACAAAACAAGACGTGGGTGGATCCCAGGACGACGTAGTTGACGGCGTCGATGGTTTCAAAGGGAGTGACCTGCAGCGTCAGCGGGTTGTAGAGGACGCTGTAGCCGATCACCGGTAACAGAACCCCTATGTCTGCTGTGGCCAGGCCAAGCAGTGAGATGTTGGTGGTGTCCGAGAAGCCGAGGCTGACGAACACGGTGATGTTGATGATGTTGAACACGATCCCCGCAAAGCCCAAAACAGTTAATATCACCACTAGGTTGGTTCCCATAAATGTGGCCAGTAACTCGTCACTGATCATGTCCATGTTCTGGTGTCTGGCTTGGTCGTTTCCTTCATTTACTTTGCAGCTGTCGACACCTGATCTTGTACACCAGATGACTTTTAAAAAAAAAATGTTTAGTTTTGAATCTATTGATCTTATACTAATGATTTTTTTTTAGTGAAGTCTCAACTTTCTCAGCCAATTATAGTCCCATCAGTGTGATTTCTCAGGCTTAATTCAGTACCAGTTCCGTCGAACAACTGTAATTAGAACTAATAACTGTTAAGACGGCAACTTCATTGGTGTCCATGTGTATCATTACCAACGTGGCACTGATCAGTGAGATCCCGTAAAGGCCCCGCCCTTCCTACTAACGAAAATGCACTCAGATCTTTAATTCATCTTGATTAAAACACAATATAACAACTAGTAACTAGGCTAATACCATCGTATAATAAGTGCTGATCTTAATTTTTCAACCAATGAAAATCATAGTGATGGATTATCTTTAATCGCTCAACATTAAGTGAACACTGAGCTTAGCACGTAGCCATTACCTTACACATTATAACACTAATGAGCTGTTAGTGTGATGGGTACTAATTATTTCGCCTACTGCGTTCATCATGGTTGCGCGACAAATGCATAACTTCCACTTTGGATAATTGGGCGAAGCATGTTAGAGGTACTTTAATTGTATTTACTCAAGGTACGCCACTGGTCCTTAGAGCTTTTTGGAGCTTAAGATATCAAAACGTTCTGATCTACTACGTTGCAAGATCGAACGTCGGGTTTGCTACACCATCAGTGGAAAGAACGATTGTATAAGAGTGGGATATAATGTCAACTTTTTCTTCTGCAAAAGGAATAAAAGTATATTTTTTAATGAATAAATAATAGTTAAACTTAACACTTTTTTAAAATAAATTTGCCATTACGGGATTTTTATCTCGGTAGCCTTCTTATTTTTAAGTACGAATTTAACATCGCGATAACTAAGGCTACATCATAAGAGCTTATCGCAATCAGCTTCTTCGTCAGCTTCGTTTTCTCTGACACCACCAGCATCTCACCATGTCTTGTGTAGTAGATTAGGCGGTTGTTTAGTCACATTAATCAAACTCATGACGGTCGAGAGGTTATTGGGTGTAGTGTTCCCGCTCCACGCCGAATCCATCGTCACCCGTAGCGGGACGACAACGGTAGTGGCCAGGATCTTAAAGCAGAACCAGGAGAAGCATAATTTTTCTTGAATTCAACACATTAGATCATCTCAACAAGTTTTAGAAATTGCCATCACAGGATTCAGTTTCGGTATATTACTTATTTTTATGTACTCCACAGCAGCAGGAAAGCAATAATTATCTTTGTAGTGACCGAGAGTGTTGTGAATGTTTGGCAAGGGGAGTTGGTGAACGTGTGAGTGTTTTCGTGAGTTGTTGATCGTGAGGTCAGAGCGTGCATTTGGTTCTTGGTGTTGAGTTGTAGTGTATGCTGAGTGTTTTGTAGGGATATAAAAAAAAAGCAGTGTGACAGTGTCAAGTTAGTCGGAGTCCAGAGTAGATCGTCGAGAGTTGAGAGCAGCAAGAAATCGAGAGTTGTGTCCAGAGTTCGATATCAAGCCAGAAAAAGAGATATGGTAGTTAAATAGTTTGAGGGTAATATTTTTCTGCTGGATGAATTATGTAGCAACTGCACTGTGTATCAAGTGGATGAATTATGTAGCAACTGTACTGTGTATCAAGTGGATGAATTATGTAGCAACTGTACTGTGTATCAAATGGATGAATTATGTAGCAACTGTACTGTGTATCAAGTGGATGAATTATGTAGCAACTGTACTGTGTATCAAGTGGATGAATTATGTAGGAACTGTACTGTGTATCAAGTGGATGAATTATGTAGCAATTGTGCTGTGTATCAAGTGGATGCATTATGTAGCAACTGCACTGTGTATCAAGTGGATGAATTATGTAGCAACTGCACTGTGTATCAAGTGGATGAATTATGTAGCAACTTCACTGTGTATCAAGTGGATGAATTATGTAGCAACTGTACTGTGTATCAAGTGGATGAATTATGTAGCAACTGTACTGTGTGTATCAAATGGATGAATTTGTACATGGAAATAAATATATAATTTACAATGAACTATTCAGTGTTTGAGTTACTTGACCAAGCGAGAGACGAGAATTAATCAAACAGGTCTGACATAAGGTTAGACATCGAATAGTCGCCTTCGGAGGTTTTAGACAAAAGAAATGAGGCCGTAACAATTTTGAAATCAATTTCTTGATGAGCATTTAGGAAGGGCGCCCTTTTATTTTGGCTCTTCCCTGTAATTAGTAATAAAAAAAAAAAAATTCGAACAGCAACTGATTGGTTATATCGAAGTCAATATTAATAAAGTTGAAGTAACAGAAGCAGTTATCGTTTTTTTTCACTTGAATGTTAAAATGCGAAAACTTCCTGGAGTTATTAATTGAACGATTGCGTCATTATTGTATGCCCTGCCCCCCCCCCCCTGAGTCCTAGGAGTCCTTTCTAAACACGAAGTGGTCGCTCTAGTCAAATTGAAGAGAAAAAATATATAGAAAGTAAGAAAATGTCGGGTTGCGTTAAAATCACACAAATATCATCATGAAACAAACTTTAAATAAAATTGTAATAAAATAGGCTCATTCTGTTTTATATATATAAAAAAAAAAATAATTGCTAGCTGAATCCATTAAAACTTGTCCCCCTATATAATCAATGAAGATCCCTTTTTTCTATAAAATAGTATAAATTATGATTTGCTGAAACTGCTGATTATTTGTGTGATGTATGGGTGCCTGCTGTTAAAGCCCTGAGAGCATGCAGTGTACGAGTGCGAGGCACATCTTTGTAGGCAAGTAGGGCTTTTCCCTATTTCTAAATTACAGTTTCCATCTCACTCCAATACACTGTGTGCCAGTCAGAATTTTGTATGTTCCCTTTCCTAAAGGCGGAAACGGATGAATCGTATACAGCATCTCGTGGATGAATCCACTTTGATCCGATAGTGTCATTGTGTAACCTGTTTGCAATGGTATCCTGCAACACATTTGTAAACTGTTACATTTTTTCTGAGTTGATAAAGCTGTAGATGTTTATTCCTAAACAACACTTATTTTTTTAAAAAATCCTTTACGTTGACTTCGCTTTTGTTCGTAGCTGGCTAGCTCACCGGGCGGTGGATTGGCCAAATTTTGGAACAGCTAATTGAACCACGTCTCGTCAACCCATCATGCTGAAACTAAGAATATAGATTTGTAGTCGGCGACAACACAATCTTCCAAATTTTCAGTCCCATTCCCGACCCCCCAAAATCGCCATTTATCAAAGAGAGCATGAACGAAATATGGCGAAACTGATTTAAAGAAATAAAATTCTCGATAACTGCGCTAAATAAGTTCGTTTGTTTTTCTGAAACAGATGGTGAAATAATTTTGCGTATTAAAAGCTGGTCGGACATTGGAATATTAATATAACATAAAATAATTTTTAAAAATGTGTTGAAAATTGACAAAATATTAAATATTAATTACGCATTGTTTCACACGGCACGTAGGTTGTTGTGTATAAAACTTCACACTTTTTATGCTGTTTAGTCGTGCTCCATGTTGGTGGTGCTCCATGTTGGTGGTGCTCCATGTTGGTAGTGCACCATGTTGACAGTGCTCCATGTTGGTAGTGCTCCATGTTGGTAGTGCTCCATTTTGCTCTCACATAAATAAAACGTTGAACTAACCTTGGTGGTTGCCTCCACTTATTTAATTATCTTCCCTGCGAAAAAACTTAGAAATTTCATATGTTCAACAGGTTATGGTCCTAGGTACCTATATCCTGTGTTAAGTGGCTACTTATTTAATTATCTTCATTGTGAAATAACTTAGCAATTATATATGTTAAACGAAATGCATGTAATTTATTTATGCGGAAAAAAATATCGTTTGTTGAATTAATAAAATTTTCTTGAATTGAAAGATCTGCTAAAATACGAAATACAAATTTGTTTGCTGTTTTCATCAAATCTGTTGCAAAAATTAAATTAGCAAAAACTGCATTAACAACAAAAAAAAAATTAGTGATAAGCAACAATTCACATTCTTGAATTTGAATGTCAATTCATTTACTATAATAACAAGCGCATTTTGTTTTGCCCTGACTTTCAGCTAATCTTCCAAATGTTCCGACGTGTGTCTAGTGCTCAGTTCAGATGATCAAAATTTACTCAAATTTAAGCCAAATTTATTTTTGAACTCACGATACATTAAAACAAATGTATGGATTTAAAAAGATATTTAACGAAAATTTGACGCAAAAAGTGACGATAATTTGATCGTTTGAACAGAGCATATGACATTAATCTTCCAAGTTCCAAGCCTTGTGACTACGTCATACAACTAATCTACCAAATGTTCAGCCTTGGGTCTATGCCATACAACTATTCTACCAAGTGTCTCAGTTTTGGTTATGTGCCATATAAATAATCTACCAAATGTTCAATTTTGATTTTGTGCCATATAAATAATCTACCAATTTTGCAGCCCTGGCTATATCACACAATGAATCTTCCAAAAGTCTCAGCCTTTGGTCTGTGCCATATAACTACTCTTCCAACTGTCTTAGATTTTTATATTTCATACAACTAATCTTGCCATTATATCAGCCTTGGATTTGTACCATACAACTGATCTTCCAAATGTCTCATTCTTTTTCCATGTCATCCAATGAATATTCCAAATGTTCACTATTGTGCCTATGCCATACAACTAATCATTTAACTGTTCAGCCTCTTGTCTTGCCATACAATTAATCTTCCAAATGTACCGACCTGTGTCTATGACATTAGAACCACCAACGTCATGACTTAATCACGTCTGAAGTAGACAAAGAAAAGAGCTAACACCTCTGTCTGAAAAGCTTCACCAGCTTCATACTTATGTGGCAGCAAAAGACCATTCCACAGGACTTCAAAGATGCATCTATTGCTCATCTGCTCATCTGTGCAAGCGTAAGGGGCACCGTCAAACATGCGATAACCACCGTGGCATATCACTGTTCTCAATTGCAGGCAAGATATTACCCAGAATCCTGCTAACCGTCTTAATAGGCATCTTGAGAAGGGTCTACTACCAGGAAGGGAACGAGAAACACTCGATATGGTGTTTGCAGTCAGACAGCTATAAGAAAAATACAGGGAACAAAAAGTTGACCACTTCTCTACCTATGTAAACCTGACCAAAACTTTCGACACTGTCAGTAGAGAGGCTCTTTGGAAGATCATGGCCAAATATGTATGCCCAGAAAGTTCGTGCCAATGGTACGAATATTCCATGATGGTATGCGGGCTAGAGTTCAGGATAAAGGAGAAACGTCCAATCCATTCCCTGAAACAGCTTGAAAGAAGGCTGTGTACTGGACTGAACACTTTTTAACCTCATGTCTTCCGCTATGCTAACCGAAGCTTTCATAGGAGGAGACGATGGAATTGGCCTCAGATACCGAAATGACAGTTATCTATTCAACCTCAAGAGGCTACATGCCAAAACGAAGGTCCTGCCAGGCACTACCAGGGACCTCCTTTATGCAGACGACTGTGTCCTAATCGTTTTATCAGAAGACGATAGGCATTGGTCGTTACCAACTTTTCCAATGCCTGCACAAACTTCGGGCTCAACATTAACACAAAAAAGACCGATGTATTATACCAGTCAGCTCCTCGAAGACCTTATGTTGAGGCCAACATCCAAATATATGGCGAAAGAATTAAGGTAGTGGATAGCTTTACTTATCTCGGCAGCACTCTGTCGCAAAGTACAATAATCGATCAAGAGTAGAGACCGGCCCGAATTTCGGCTTCGGTTTTAGTGCCTAAAGTTGCCATTTGATTACTTTCGGCGTAGTTTCGGTTTTAACCGAAACTTACAAGTTAAGTTTCGGCTTAGTTTCGGTTTCGGACGAAACAGAAAAGTTAACGTTCGGTTTTATTTCGGTTTCAGCCGAAATTGATTGAGCCTTTCGGTCATATGCCCGAAATTGATTGATGCTTGCGGTCGAGTACCAGAAGCCAGACTAACTGTCTGTCTTTAGGCCAGCGATTCGATATTCATTATTGTTGGACGTTTTGCTGTCATCGTATGTTAAATGTTAAACTCAAGATAATCTCATTTTTTTATAAATATAATAAACCTTTAAATAATTTCCACCATCATTTTTCGACGTATGAAGAATTTGCGTGGACGAGTTTCAAAATATCTAATTCTTTCGGTTTTGGCCGAAAGTCTCGTTAAGCTTTTTGTTGCGGCTTCGGTTTCTGCCGAAATTCATTTTTAACTTTTGGTCTGGTTTTGGCTTCGGTCGAAATTTAGAAAATCACTTTCGGTCGGTCTCTAATGAAGAGGTTCTCCTCCGTATTGCGAAAGTCAGTACAACCTACGGCAATTTTTTTAAAGAACGCATGAACCCGGAGAGGTATCAGCACTCAAAGAAAAAGTATATAAGGAGGTTGTTCTCCCTATGCTTCTCTATGGCTGTGAAACGTGGACGGTATACAAACGCCATGCAAGAATACTGAACTACTTTCATGCAACAACACTCAGAGAAATGCTCAACATTAAATGGCAGGACAGTGCCCCCAGACACTGAGGTGCTCACATAGGTAGGTCTCCCCAGCATCTTTACCATCTTAATGATGTCCCAGCTTCGTTGGGCGATACATGGTGTGAGAATGTCAGACGACCGTCTGCCCCCAAAAAAGTTTCTATTGTGAGCTTGAACAAGGAAAGCGGTCTGCTGGCGAGCAGAAGAAACGTTTTAAAGACAACCTAAAAGCCTCGCTGAAAGCATTCGACATAAACCCAGACACGTGGGAGGAAAAAGCAAAGGATCGAACATCATGGCGTTTCAGTTTAACATAGGAGCTCCTGCAACATGAAGTTGGCAGAACAGCGGCTGCGGAGCGCAGGAGACGTGCTAGGAAGGCCCTGTCTGACTCTGCTTCCGTAGATGCCCCATCATTCCTTCGCAACTACAGCACAAGAAAATTTCGTGCCAGAATGAATTGACCTCATTAGTCATATGCGAATCCGCAGACAGAACTAGCACAAATGTGATGATTTAAGTTGTTATGTTCGAAACTCGACTAATGAACAACAGAACCACTTTTATAGCTGGTAGGTTGCAGTAGGTTACCCATTGTTTTTGCAATTTCTTCGGAATCAGAAACGAAATGTTAAAAAATACGATGCACAAAACCCTCCCCCCCCCCACCCCGGCCCTTTAAAATAAATATAAATTATAGAAAGACAAACCTGCTCAGTAACAGTTGTTAAGTACATTTAAAACTACACATCATCATTCACTGTTAACTACAGATGTAAGGCAACCTCCGCTGGTACATCGGTTTGAAAAAGTAATCAACACTTTTCTTTTTGTTGTGTGGATATTTTTTTTTTACGTCATCCACAGAAACCGGAAGGGATCTATCGAAATATTTCGGCGCCGAAACTGGAGCTGATATGCGGTCGGTCTCTAGTTGTGACCCCATTGACACGCATGTAGGGCATTGTGTTGGTAGATGCTGCCTAACACAATAGTTATTTTTGTATTTACGCGTGGTCTTCTTGATATCTCTGTACCTGATGCCACTGCCCGTTCACAGCATTCTTCACTCATTGGCTTAAAATGCTAACCAGTTTCCTCCGTTGCCCTCCATATGTTTTCCGCCCCGTCCGTTGGGTGTCAGTTCAGACTCTCTAAGAAGTCTCGCTCTGGTTGGGTGTCAGTTCAGACTCTCTAAGAAGTCTCGCTCTGACGTTCTTATTCTCTATACCTCACTCGAATCTGGCCTGTACCAACGAGTCTATCACACTTTCAAATTCCCTTTCGGTCAACTGGTATCCAATTCTATTGCAATAGACAACTAGATCTATCAAGTTTCAAGACATCTCTTTATTTCCACAGTCATAACTTTCTCACAGTTAGATTTATTATTTCCAAAAAAATCCGTATAAAAATAGTGTTGGTAAATTTCTCGTACCAAGCTGATCGCAATCCCACAATCATTTACATGTGTTTTGATTACTTTAGTGGGGGGAAAAACGATTCTGTGAAACGATATGGCAAATTGCTATTGAGAATTTCGACCTACAGATGATTTTTAATTTCTGTCAAGTCCTCACCATCTCTTACTCATGTGAGGGTAGTTTATTTATGTCAGAAACTATTGTTTAGACTCATGACGCTTGTTTTTCTATGACAGGAATAAAAAACAATTGAAGGACTTCCGGTAACGACAGTGAAAGTGAGTGAGAGAAAGAGAGAGAGAGGGGGAGGGAGAGAGAAAAGGGGGGGGGGAGACAGAATAAGAGATACGTAAAGAAAGAGAGAAAGTAATGAAGTTAGATAGTCATTAACAGAACGGGGCATAAGGTTAGGAGCGAGTCATAAAAGTCGGTCTTGAATGAAGAGAGAGATGGAGTGTGGGAAAGATAAGGAGAGATATGTATAAATATAGATTTTCCAAAACAAATGGATATATTTTGAAAGGGACGGAGAGAAATAGGGGGAGATAAAGAGAGAGAGAAAGGCAGAGACATGATTCTTGAATTCCAGAAAAGATTGTTATTCATTTACAACGGTTAGAATTTATTATCACAAAGTCTACTAGGATTTCACAATATTACCTTCACTATGAGCTGCTAGGAAACTTAAACTATTGCAACTGTACTATATTTCAAACACAAATAAAATACACTAAAGAACAGGTAAAATCGTAAAGTGAATGGCAATCGAAGGAATGTACTTGTTTAGAAAGGTCAACATGTGACACGTAAAATATTTTCCATCCAAATCTCAAATGTAGTACTTAGTTATTAGGTATCATAGTTGAATACATACCCAAGTGTTATATATATATATATATATATATATATATATATATATATATATATATATATATATATATATATATATAAAATATTTTCCATACAAATCACAAATATAGTACTTAGTTATTATATATCATAGTTGAATACATACACAAGTGTTATATATATATATATATATATATATATATATATATATATATATAAATAAATATAAATATATATAGATATACTAAATTACACTTTAATCTACTTTAAACGAACTTTTCCCTTATCCTCGGACCTGCACTGAAATATTGAACAGAACTTTTCCCTGAACTTTGAACTCATTCTCAAGTAGATGAAGATGTTAATGGTAGAGTTGATAGCGTCCAAGATGAAACATATGACGCCGAAGAATAAAAAAAGATTCTTTTTTCTTCCCTTGACGTTAAAGTCTTTGACAAATAACATCACCAGGTTGCCGACAATCGTGGGCAGCGAGCAGCAGATGAAGACGACCGATATGAGGAAGACCACCTTGACCAGTTGCTTGTCACGACCGGACACTTGTAGAGACTGGGCAGACGATGACGTGGAACTCCTCCATTTCGCTACGCTGACGAGCGACCTCACCAGACCGAGGGTGGACGCCACGACGACGACGAATGATGCAACTTGGGTGACGATGGGCACGACCAGCGCGAATTTCTCCAGCTGGTCAATGTTCGGGGATATAACTATCCCGATGACCGTGAGGTTTGACTGCCAGATGAACCTCGGGCCGATCTGATACGCTAGAAACTGGGGAAGTGTCAGGGAGACGAGGCTGACATAGATGCCTACTACTACCCAAATCGTCCTCTTGTGCGTGACGATGGATTTGACGTGAAGCGGGAACGCCACGCACATGAACCTCTCGAACGTTATGAAAGCCGTTAAACACCCAGCTATTCTACAAAATAAGACGTGGGGGGTGCCCAGGACGACGTAGTTGACGGCCTCGATGGTTTCAAACGGGGTGAACTGCAGCGTCAGCGGGTTGCAGGTGACGCTGTAGCCGATCTCAGTGAGCATAACACCGATGTCGGCCAGGGCGAGGCCAAAAAGTGTGATGTTGGTGGTGTCCGAGAACCCGAGGCTGACGAATACGACAATGATGATGCTGTTGAACACGACCCCCGCAAAGCCCAAAATTGAGGATATCACCGTTAAGTTGATTCCCATAAATGTGGCCAGTAACTCGTCACTGATCATGTCCATGTTCTGATGTCTGGCTCTGTCGTATCGTTCATTTACTCTCTAACTATCGACACATCTGATCTTGTCCACCAGAGGACTTTTTAAAAAGTTTGTTGCGTTTCTGTTAACCTTACCCTTACGATTAAAAATTAATAATAATTTGAAAATCCCTCACCAAATTATAGTCCCATCGGTGTGATATATCTGGGGCTTAATTCAATACTAGAAATAATTAACTGTTAAGACGGTGACTTCATTGGTGTTAATTTTCATTATTACCAACGTGGCCCCCATCAGTGAGATCACATAAAAACCCACCCTTCTCCCTAACGGTGCACACTCGGAGCTTAAATTCATGTTTATTAAAACACCATTTAACAACTACTCAGAAATCTTGTACCATCGTATAATTAGTTACGTACTCAGCTTTCAACCACAGAAAATCATTATAATGGATAGCTTTAAAATCAATCAACATTGAGTAAACAGTAAGTGTGGCACGTAACCATTACCATACATATTAATGACAGTTATCAGCTGTTAATTTAATGGGGTGGGGGTGGGGCTAATAATTATGCCGAATGCGTTCATCATGTTTGCACAACAAGTGCATAACGTTTAGTATGGATAAGTGTGCTATACATGCTAGAGGTACTTGGAGGTCTGACCTATTCAAGTATACCATGGGTGTTGAGATCTTTTCGCGACATAACAGATAAAAAAATACAGCGTTCTACCTCGTCTCAGGGTCATATTGTTGGTTTTGCTACAACATCCAAAAGAAGAATGATTATAGAAGAGCTGGATATGACAGACATAGTTCAGAATTTTGCATATTTTTTTTTAATGAATAACTAAGAGATAAACTTAATAAGTTTTACCAATTTGCCATTACAGCATTATTGTTCGGGTAGCCTACTTAGATTTAAATACGACTTTCGTCAAGGTGCATTTGAAGTTAGGTGTCATAGGAAACTCATCACCATCGGTGTTATAGTCAAGCCTCGTGATCTCTGACACCACCATCATCTCCCGGCTGGGTCAAGCCGTGGCGTAAAATACATCGACGTCGTGGTCAAGCATCGTGATCTCTGACACCACCATCATCTCCCGGCTGGGTCAAGCCGTGGCGTGCAATACATCGACGTCGTGGTCAAGCCTCGTGATCTCTGACACCACCATGATCTCCTGGCTAGGCCAAGCCGTGGCGTAAAATACATTGACGTCGTGGTCAAGCCTCGTGATATCTGACACCACCATCATCTCCCGGCTGGGCCAAGCCGTGGCGTAAAATACATCGACGTCGTGGTCAAGCCTCGTGATCTCTGACACTACCATCATCTCCCTGCTGGGCCAAGCCGTGGCGTAAATACATCGACGTCGTAGTCAAGCGTAGCGCTCTCTGACACTACCAATACCTCACGTCCTGGGTCAAGCAGTGGCATGCAATACATCGGCGTCATGTTTACCGCGATAAGCTACAGCGTTACTTACAACCCGCCAACACTGCAGGTCACTTCAATCGACGTCACCAACTACGTCACCCTCGACACGATCCACGTCATGTGTTGCAGTGTCGCCGGTTTTTTAACGGCATTCAGAATTGTAGAGATGTTTATGTGTTTAGTGTTCCGGCTTCACGCAAAATGCATCGTCCAACTTGATGTCACTACTTTTGTAGTGTCCAGCATCTAAAAGCAAAAGCAGGAGAAGCATACATTTTCTTGAAAAAACAAATAAATTAAAATAACTGATAGATCAGCCCTGGACGTTTTATAAACTGACATTACACGATTTTATTTTCCTCCGTAGCTCACTTCTTTTAAATTATTGTTCAGCACCAAGAAGGCCACGTTTGGTCTTGACATCAAATTTTTTTAAAAATAAAATTCAAACTTGACAGTCTAAATATTTCAGTTCGAAATAAGTTATGCTACATAAATCGTGCAACAAATGCTGTGTCAAACATATTTTCCAGTTAATGCATAATGGCTGTGTTGCTCCGGGTTGAAATGGCTAAAAAGACTTTGACATAGTATGCTTGTAATGAGTTTTTGTAGTGTTGCGTTTGTTTTAAATGTGGCAAATTATAGATTTGTTTCTTGTTGACTTTGTACCGCGCTTCGAGCCTTTGGGGATGAAGCGTGTTTTTGAAACGAACTTGATTATTATTATTATTATAAATATTGGTTTAAAATTGTTTTATTTTGTATTGATTCTTGAAAATTAGTACAACATTTAGTTTCTCAGTGCCCTAAAAAACTATTTTCAAATAGAAAAAATGTTTAGCATATTGTTAAGGGTTGCATTTTTAGCTCTTCCCTATAATACAAAACTTTGTAAAGGATGGTAAGAGAATAATCATATCAAAGTAAATGTTAAGAAACTTGAAGTGAGAGAAGACGTCATCTTTGTTGATTTTTTTTTCTTTTATGGTGAAAGGAGATGAAATTCTGCGTATCCAGAAATTTGATCGAAAGAAATTTCGTCGACGGAAAATTGATCGACGGAAATTCGATCGAACGCAAATTTGGTCCAATCTTTTTTTTCAGTTCACACGTTAGAATTTTGCTTCAAATTTATTTTTTAATGCATTATTTTAATGAACTATTTACATAGTATTGTGATGCTATTTCTGAAAAATATGGGGAAATAAATCTTTAATGTCAAAGTGGGTTGGACATTTGGATATTGATATTAAATAAAATAATGAAATGCACGTAAAGAAGGCCTGTACAACCTTAATATTTTATTTTTAAAAAACTTGTGCATGCCGAAAGAAAAAAAAATTAAATGGAAAGCAATTAAGAAAATAATAATAATAAAGTTTTTTTTTTTTTACTTCCCGGGCGGCAAAGTGGGTGTTGGAAGGCCGTAAGCGGCCCGCGGGCCGTATCTTGTGCAGTTCTGATATAAAGGATTTATACGAAAAACATGTTTTTATTGATTTGATTTAAAAAGAAAATTAGCAAAAAATACATTAAAGAAAAATTCATTACCAAAAAGCACATGACAGATAAAAAATAAGTGATATTCTTGAATGTCAATTCATTTAGTTTTATTACAAGCTTAATTGATTCTGCTGTGCCATATTTTATACATAATCTTCCAAATTTTCTACCATTAGTTCTATGGCACGCACCTAATCTTCCTGATATTCAGCCTTGTGTCTATGTCGTGCAACTAATCCTCCAAGGGTAAATCCGTGTGCCTGTTGTCGTATATAGGGTGACCGTTACGCCATGGTCAAAGTAGGCCTACTCTCTACAAGTAAAACTATCGTGGGGAAAGCAGGACGACCGTGAATGGCGACCCCTTTCCGCTGTTATCACACGGCTTGGAAGTGCATGACTAGAAGTGTTTACACAGTTGTCTTTGGGGCGTTAGTACATCTTAGCCTGATGGCAGGATTTACTTACTATCTTGGTTGACTCAGTGACTGGGAGGTAACATGGATAGAAGTTTAAGGGGCGGGGGGGAGGGTTACGGCGAGGGGGTGTATATATGGTGGAACTGAATTTCTTAGCTCCACTGACCACAGACCAGTACAAACTGAATTTCTTAGTTCCACTGACCACAGACCAGTACAAACTGAATTTCTTAGCTCCACTGACCACAGACCAGTACAAACTGAATTTCTTAGCTCCACTGACCACAGACCAGTACAAACTGAATTTCTTAGCTCCACTGACCACAGACCAGTACAAACTGAATTTCTTAGCTCCTCTGACCACAGACCAGTACAAACTAAATTTCTTAGCTCCACTGACCACAGACCAGTAAAAACTGAATTTCTTAGCTCAACTGACCACAGACCAGTACAAACTGAATTTCTTAGCTCCACTGACCACAGACCAGTCCTAACATGAAGCTTCTGGCGTGCGTGTGTAGACTTAGACCTACCGTACGCAGAAGAGAAGCGACTGTCATCCTAGTCTGCGCGATCAAGAGTTGTAGCGTTGGGCTTGAAGTATAATTTAGACTTGCCTGTATTTTGTCTTACTTGTACTGCGCATATGTTCTTTGAATAGTTATATTTATATGACAGGCATCCATATTTCGTAGCATATCTCTTAGGGTAGTTCTCAATAATATTTCATGGCTATGCCATAGTGTTTTTGGGCTAATGCAGAGAATTGGTGTCATTAGTGATACATTTAGGGTTCGGGTTAGTTTTAGGGATACATTTAGGGTTCGGGTTAGGTTTAGTGATACATTTAGGGTTCGGGTTAGGTTTAGTGATACATTTAGGGTTCGGGTTAGGTTTAGGGATACATTTAGGGTTCGGGTTAGGTTTAGGGATACATTTAGGGTTCGGGTTAGGTTTAGGGATACATTTAGGGTTCGGGTTAGGTTTAGGGATACATTTAGGGTTCGGGTTAGTTTTAGGGATACATTTAGGGTTCGGGTTAGGTTTAGGGATACATTTAGGGTTCGGGTTAGGTTTAGGGATACATTTAGGGTTCGGGTTAGGTTTAGGGATACATTTAGGGTTCGGGTTAGGTTTAGGGATACATTTAGGGTTCGGGTTAGTTTTAGGGATACATTTAGGGTTCGGGTTAGTTTTAGGGATACATTTAGGGTTCGGGTTAGGTTTAGTGACAGTGAATTATAAAAGCTCACGGGTCGTGGCAACCAAGATAGCGGCCGTCTGGTACGTCATGGCATCAATGGTCTGCGTTTACCATGCATTTGTTGTAGAGCTCATATTACGTTACATGGTAAATTTAGGTAATGAAGTAGCTTTCGTTACTTTGTGTTAAACTGAGGATTTATTTTGTCTATTGCATGCCTGTTGTGTTCACTTGGGCACATTAGAACAAGGTGGTCGATTCTAACATGATTAATTCGTTTCGTCTCTGGGTTTTGAAGTGTGCAAACAACTAAACAGAATATAGACTCGACGTTCATACTTTGAGTTTTACGTCAGAGAGATGAATGTCTGCAGTCGGCCTACTACACAATTGTTATACAAAACGTTGATACATGTGTGCTTTTTTCAACATTGAAAATGCTTTTTCAGTATGATAGTGATGATCTCAATAGATGAATAAAATTTTATATTTTGGAAATTATTGACAAGTCGGTCATCATTCAGATGGAAGGAGCGTTCAAAAAGGATTAGTCATATACCACACTATGAGGTGATTTCTGGCCGACAGACAGATTGACAGACAGACAGACAGACAGACAGATTGACAGTCGGCCGAAAACGCTAATAAAGCAAAAATAAACGTTTCTATGTCGGCTGAAACCGAAAATAAACCGAAAGGTAACTTTTATGTTTCGGTCGAAACCGAAACTACGCCGGAAGTTGACAGTTGGAAATAATGCGTGTGACAATCTCGACTACAAATTATTTTATTTCTGCCAAGTCCTGACACTTCTTCAGTCATGTGACTCTAGTTTATTTATTTCAGGAAAACTAATAATAAAGTTTGGTGCTGTCATTGAAAGAAGGGGAAAGATAGGTAGGGGGGAGAACTGAGGTTAAATTTTCAGTAACAAGCTTGGGTAGATTGTGAGAGACATTCAAAATTAGTGAGTAAAAAAAAATCGACATTGAATAGAAGAAGGAGAAGGAATTTAGAAAAGTGTTGTTTTTTTTGTTGTTTTTTTTTGGGGGGGGGGGGGGGGGGGAGCATGTACTAATATAGTCAAAATTAGTGAGTAAAAAAAAATCGACATTGAATAGAAGAAGGAGAAGGAATTTAGAAAAGTGTTGTTTTTTTTGTTGTTTTTTTTTGGGGGGGGGGGTGGGGGAGAGCATGTACTAATATAGATTGTCCAAGACAAAGGGAGCTATTTTGAGAGGAAGGGATAGAAAAGTGGGAAAGAAAGAGAGAGAGAGAATTGCAGAGACAGGAGTCATGAATTTCAACAATGATTTTGTTAATTCAAAAGGGTAAGAGTTTATTATTGCAAAGACAGCAAGGATTTCTCATGATTTTCTTCCGTATGAGCAATAACGAAACTGAAACTGTACAATATTTAAAATAGGAATAAAATACACTAAAGCCCTCTTAAAACCATCTAGTAAATGACAATGGAAGGAATTTTTATTTAGAAAAGTCAAAATATCACACGGAAAATTGTTTCCATATAAACCTGAAATGTAGTACGTAGTATTTTTAGTATCATATTTGAATACATACCAAATTTCGACTTTTTTAAATTTATATTTTTCATCGATTTACTTTAAAACACACTTAAATCTACTTTAAAAGTCCCTTTAAATTATTCTCGGACCTGCATAGAAAAATTGACCAGAACTTTTCCCTGAACTTTGAGCTCATCCTCAAGTAGATGAAGATGTTAATGGTAGAGTTGATGGCATCCAAGATGAAGAATATGGTAACGATGAATTCAAAAAGTTTCTTGTTTCTTCCCTTGACGTTAAAGTCTTTGACGAATACCATCACCAAGTTGCCGATGACCGTGGGCAGCGAGCAGCAGATGAAGACGACCGATATCAGTAAGACCATCTTGACCAGTTGCTTATCACGACCGGAGATATGGAGAGACTGGGAAGACGATGACGTGGAACTCCTCCATTTTGCTACACTGGCGAGCGACCTCACCAGACCGATGGTTGACGCCGCGACAAGGACGAATGACGCAACTTGGACCACAATGTTCACGGTCAGCGTGAAATTCTCCAGCTGGTCAGCGTTCGGGGATAAGACTATTCCAACCACCGTGACATTCAACTGTGGGTTAAACCTCGGTGCGATCTGATTGGCTAGATACTGGGGCAGCGTGCTGGCCACGAGGGTGACATAGGTGCCTACTACTACTAAAATGGTCCTTGTTGGCGTAACGATGGCTTTGACATGAAGCGGGAACGCTACACACATGAACCTCTCAAACGTTATGAAAGCTGTTAAACACCCGGCTATTCTACAAAACAAGACGTGGCTGGTGCCAAGGACGACGTAGTTGACGGCGTCGATGGTTTCAAAGGGGATGAATTGCAAGATCAGTGGGTTGTAGGTGACGCTGTAGCCGATCTCAGTAAACAGGACGCCGATGTCTGCCACAGCGAGGCCCAGGAGCGAGATGTTGGTGGTGTCCGAAAACCCGACGGTGATGAATACGGTGATGTTCATGATGTTGAACACTATCCCCGCAAAGCCCAAAAGGGAGGACATCACCGCTAGGTTGATTCCCATAAATGTTTCCATTAACTCTTCGCTGATCATGTCCATGTTCTGCTGTATCGTTCATGATCTTTTACACGAGAGGAGATTTATTAAGTTTTTTTTTCCCGCCGTTGATCTTACTTAACAATTATTTTTTTTTAAAAAGAAGTTTCAAGTAACTGACTAAATTATAGTCCCATCGGTTTCATTTCTCAGTATTAATGTAATACTAGTTGCGCTTAAATACTATCGTTAGAAATAATTAACTGTTAAGACGGTAACTTCGTTGGTAACAATGTGACTCATGACCAACGTGGCACTGATGATTGAGATCCCGTAACACCTCCCCACCCCCCCTCAAAAAAAAAAAAAAAGAAGAAAAAAAATCCTCAGAGCTTTAATTCATGTTTATTAAAATAGCATTCAACAACTTGGTAACTTCGTTGGTAACAATGTGACTCATGACCAACGTGGCACTGATGATTGAGATCCCGTAACACCCCCCCACCCCCCCTCAAAAAAAAAAAAAAAGAAGAAAAAAAATCCTCAGAGCTTTAATTCATGTTTATTAAAATAGCATTCAACAACTTCGAACTAGGCCAGTACCATCGTATAATAAGGGCTATAATCATTTCTCAGCCACAGAAAATCATTATGATGGATAACCTTTAAATCAACATTAAGCAAACAATAAGCTTAGCACGTAACCACCACCGCACATATTACAGCATCAATGAGCTGTTAGTGCGATGGTGGCTCATAATTACAGCCAATGCGTTCATTATAATTGCACACCATGTGCATGATGTTTGGATAAGTGCACGATACATGATAGAGGTACATGGTCTGACTTGGTCAAGTATACCAGTCGTGTTGAGGTCTTTTCGCAGTTAAGCCGATGAACACAGGCCGTTCTACCTCGTCTCAAATTCATATTGATGGTTTTGCTACAACATCCATTAAAGAATGATTATTTGGGTTGGATGTGACAGACATAATTTAGAATTGTGCTCCTGCTAAATCAAATAAAGGATATTTTTTAATGAACAACGAATAGTTAAGCTAAACGCCTTTTATTAATTTCCTATTACATTATTTGAGTTTAAGTAATTTTAAGAACACGTTTTGAGTTGATGTGAAGTAGGGTTACATAAGAAAGGTATCACCTTCGCCGTCACAGTCAAGCCTCACTTTCGTTGACACCACTAACATCTCACTGCTACGCTTCGCGCCGTGGCGTGCAACGCAAAGCCGACTTAGTCCAGCTTCGCGCTCTCAGACACCACCGTCTTTTCCACGCTGGGCGCTCAATACCTGGGCGTCCTGTTTCCCCTGATCGGCTTCAGCGTCATCTGCGACCAGCCGACGCTACAGACAGGTCACTCCTATCGGCGACACTGAAAACTTCGCCCTCGGCCCGATCCACGCCTGGTGTTGTAGAATAGCCGGCTGTTTAATGGTAGAGAGGATTATTGTGCGTGGTGTTCCCGCTTCACGCCAAATCTATTGTCGACCATACTGGGACGACTTTAGTCGTGGCCCGCATCTATCAGCAAAACCAAGAAAATTATTTATTTTTTAAAATTGAAATAAACTTAAACGGATCAATCCTCTGAACGCGTTTGATAATTTGTTACATTACATTAGTGTCGGTGACCCACGTGTTACTCCACGCCAGCAAGAAAGCCATAATTATGTTCAAATCAATTTCTTTTTAAAAAATAAAACCTCAAAATTGATAATCTAAAATATTTGAATTCAGATAGAGTTAGTCTACATATTGTTACTGTTTTGACAAATAATTTGTAAATATTTGTTACAAATTTTTATATTTTGTATTTATTCTTCAAAATTAACACATTTCCTTTCTTACTAATCTTAGTAAACTGAAACTATTTTAAAATAAAAGAAATTTTAACATTTATTAAAGCTATTTTAGCTATTCCCTCTAATACAAAACTTGTTTATGGACAGCAGCTAATTGGATATATCAAAGTTAGTTTTAAGAAAGTTGAAGTGGCAGAAGAAATTGTTTGTTTGGTTTCCCTCTCTTTAATGATCAAATCCGATGAAATTCTGGAGGTAACAACAATTGAACGATTGCGTCACTATTGTATTCCCCCTTTCCCCGAGTCCTTTCAAAACATAAAGCTGTCGGTTCCTTCAAGTTAAACTACACTTAGAAAGTAAGAACGTGTTTGCTGGCGTCCAAACGATGCAAACAACACCATAAGCAACAAGGTTTAAACCATTGTAAAACAAAGTAGGCGCCTTCTGTTGGAGGTAAAATATGAATTGATGGCTGAAACCACTAAAGCTGTTTTTAATATGTTATCCGTATAGGTACCTAATGTTTTCTATCAAATATTATTAAGTATGTTTTCCTGAAACTGTTGTTGGTGTGTATTCGTTTTCTGTATAGATCCCTGCTGTATAAGTCATGGGCGATTGTAGTGTACGAGTGCAAGGGGTATATCCTTGTAGACAAGTAGGGCTTTTCTCTTTCTTCTCAAATACAGGTTCCATCTTATTTTATCGCGCCTTGTACCATTAAGTAGTTTGTATTCTCCTTTTCCCCCCAGACGTAGAAATCGCTGAATTGTACGCAGCATCACTTAAATGAGTCCACTTTGAGGCGATAATGTCAACGGGTGACCCTTTTGAAAGGTTATCCTACAACACACAAGTAAATGTCTTCTTTGTTTCTGTCAATAGATGAGTTGATTTAATATTTCAGTTTTATTTATTTTTTTAAATAGTAATAAAATAATACTGGACATGTCAATTCCCTAGGTATTTTTGTTAAAAATTTAATTCACATTTGCCCATAACTAAATTTATGAGTGAATCTCACAAACCATCGACTTGAATACATCTAGGTTTCGCAAATTTTATGTTTGAAGATATATTTTAAATATCATAATAAAAATATTGCCGTATGTGCTTCCCCCCCCCCCACCCCCAAAACAAAACAAAAAATTACCTTTGCCTAAGCCAAAATAAATTAGTTTTAAAAAAAAACCACTGTTTGACAAGTAGGTCACCATGCAGGTTTGAGCTAATTTTATGTTTGAAGATATATTTTAAATATCATAATAAAAATATTGCCAGATGTGCTTCCCCCCCCCCCACCCCCAAAACAAAACAAAAAATTACCTTTGCCTAAGCCAAAATAAATTAGTTTTAAAAAAAAACCACTGTTTGACAAGTAGGTCACCATGCAGGTTTGAGCAGTGTTCATAAAGGATTAGTCATAAACCATACGATAAGAGCAATAATTAATTTCGGTTGGCGGGCCGGCTACAGACAGACAGTCTGATTTCTGGTTTACGACCGAAAGCCTCAAGTACTTTCGGTCGAAACCGAAAATAAACCGAAAGTTAGCTTTTCTGTTGCGGCCGAAACCAAAACTACGCCATAAGTGATCAACTGGAAACTTCCGGCCCTGAAACCGAAGCTGCAATACCTTTGGTTCTAGTTGTGACGTAACTGAACGTATGCGGGACACTGTCTTGGTAGATGCTGTATAACACAATTTGTATGTGCGCGTGGTCTTCTTGATATATCTGCATGTGATGCAACTACATGTGCACTTCATTTCTCTCAAGTTCGTTAGAACTGCCAATCCAAAGGCAATCTCTGTACCTGATGTCACTGCCTTTACACCACGTTCTTCTCTCATTAGTTTACTGCCAATGCACTGTCTTCTTGATATATCTGTACTCAATGTAAACTCCTGTATACCACACATTCTTCAAACACTTTTTAGAACCTTCAATCCATTGTTTTCTTGATATATGTGTACCTGATGTCACTCTAAGACTCCCTAAGATGTCTAGGTCTGACGGTTTTACTCTTTATACCTCGAACGAGGCTGGCCTTCATCAACGAGTCTTTCAGGCTTTCGAATTCACTTTCACTGAAAAATTATGGCAAAGTGCTCCTTCGAATTTCGACTACAAATCTTTTAATTTATGTCAAGTCCTAACCACTCTACAGCCATGTGACGCTAGTTTCTTTATGACAGAAATAACAAAATAGGAGAAAGTTTGGTGATTTCAGTGTAAGTGGGAGAGATAAAGAAACATAGACAGATGGATACAGAGAAAGAGAGAAAAAAAAAATTAAGATAGGTATTTATTAATGGAACGGGATAGAGCTTCAGATTTAATAATAAAATGAGTGAAACATTAAAAGAGAAAGATACAGAAATTAACTGTGGAAAGATTGTGTGAGATATAACGAGTCCAAGAGAACGGAAGCGAGAATAATAAAGAGAGAGAGAGAGAGAGATGAGGAGAGAAAGAAGGGAGGGAGAATGTAAAGATAGAGGTTGGGTATCCCGACAACGATTGTATTAATGTAAAAAGGTTTAGAGTTAATCATCAGAAAGTCCACTAGGATTTCTCAACATTTATTTCACTGTAAAGGAATGAAGAATCAACAACTTTTAAAACTGCACTGCATTTTAAACAGGAAAATACACTAAAGAACATGTAAAATCATTCAGTAAAATGGCATCGAAGAAATGTATAGATTTAGAAGCATCGACAAGTCACACGACAAATTTTTTTCTATCTAAATCTGAACAGTAGTATCTACTAATATCGTATCCTATTTCAGAACATACTCAAGTGTTACTTTTTTATGTAACTATTTTTAATCGATTGACTTTAAAACACACTTCAATCTACTTTAAATGAACTTTTTTCTTATCATCTGACCTGCATTGAAAAATTGACCAGAACTTTTCCTTGAACTTTGAACTCATTCTCAAATAGATGAAGATGTTCATGGAAGAGTTGATGGCGTCCAAGATGAAACAGATGACGCCGAAGAATATAAAAAGATTCTTGTTCCTTCCCTTGACGTTAAAGTCTTTGACGAATACCATCACCAAGTTGCCGACAACGGTGGGCAGCGAGCAGGCGATGAAGACGACCGATATCAGGAACACCATCTTGACCAGTTGCTTGTCACGACAGGTAACTTGTAGAGACTGGGAAGACGATGCCGTGGAACTCCTCCATTTCGCCACACTGACGAGCGACCTCACCAAACCGAGGGTGGACGCCACGACGACGACGAATGACGAAACTTGGGTGACGATGTGCACGGTCAGCGTGAGATACTCCAGCTGGTCAGCGTTCGGGGATAAGACTATTCCTATCACCGTGACGTTCAACTGTGGGTTAAACCTCGGCGCCATCTGATTGGCTAGATACTGGGGCAGCGTGCTGGCCACGAGGGTGACATAGATGCTGACTACTATAAAAGTTGTCCTTTTATGCGTGACTATGGCTTTGACATGAAGCGGGAACGCTACACACATGAACCTCTCGAACGTTATGAAAGCTGTTAAACACCCGGCTATTCTACAAAACAAGACGTGGGTGGTGCCCAGGACGACGTAGTTGACGGCGTCGATGGTTTCAAATGGAGTGACCTGCAGCGTCAGCGGGTTGTAGGTGACGCTGTAGCCGATCTCAGTAAACAGGACGCCGATGTCTGCCACAGCGAGGCCCAGGAGTGAGATGTTGGTGGTGTCCGAGAACCCGAGGCTGACGAATACGGTGATGTTGATGATGTTGAACACTATCCCTGCAAAGCCCAAAATAGCTGATGTCACCGCTAGGTTGATTCCCATAAATGTGACTAATAACTCGTCACTGATCATGGCCATGTTCTGATGTGCGTCGTTGTCGTATCGTTCATTTAATGTCTAACAATTGACAAATCTGATATTGAACACCAGTGATCTTGCCGGCTCTATTATCTTATCCTAACGATTTTTTTTAAAGAGATTAAACGTCCTCACCAAATTATAGTTCCATCGGTGTAATTTCTCAGGCTTAATTCAATACTAGAAATAATGAACTGTTGAAATGGTAACTTCATTGAAGTCAATGTGTATCATGACCAATGGTGCATCGATCAGTGAGATCCCGTGAAAATCCCACCATTACCCCTATCGAAACACCCTCAGAATTGTAATTCATGTGGATTAAAACCCCACTAAACAACTTATGACTAGGCCAATTCCATGGTTTAATTGATGATGTACGCATTTTTCAACCCCAGAAAATGATTATGATGGATTAGTTTTAAATCAAACAAAATGAAGTAAACAGTAAGCTTAGCGCGTAACCATTACCATGCATATTTACCATTTACCATACATTTATCAGCTGTTAGTGGGATGAGGGCTAATCGTTACGCCTAATACGGTAATCATGTGTGCACATCATGTGCATAACGTCAGTGTGGACAAGTGCGCGAAACATTTTAGAGGTACTTGGTCTGACCTCGTCAATTATACCATTGGTGTTGAGAGCTTTTCGAAGCTAAACTTATAAAAAAAAACATTATGCTCTACCTCATCTCAAGATCATCATTTTGGTTTTCGCTACAGCATTCATTAAAAGAATGATTACATAAGAGTTGGGTTAGACAAACACATTTCAGAGTTTGCCTCTGCAGTAGGAGGGGGGAGGGGCTTTCAAATGATTTACAGAACATTATTTTTAATGAATAACTAATAGATTCACTTAACATGTTTTACTAATTTGTCATTAGGGGATTTTTCTTTCGGTAGCCAGTTTATTTAAGTACGAATTTGTGTTCATGTGAACTTAGGTTATTTATTTTTTTTTAATTATCGCGTTCTCTGACACCACAAGCAGCGCACTTCTGCAATTAATAATTCATCAGTGTCCTGATTACCGTGACGGGCTACAGCGTCATCTACAACCCGCTGACGCCGCAGATCGCTCCCATCGGCACGTTGCCCTCGGCACGATCCACATCTGATGGAGAATAGCCGGGTGTTTAAAGGCATTCATAATGGTGGTTAGGTTCATGCGTGTGATGTTCCTGCTTTACGCCAAATTCATCGTCACCCATGATGGAACGTCTTTTGGTAGTGACCAGTATCAAATAAAAAAAACAAGAAAAGCATATTTTTTTCTTTAAAAACGGGTAAATAAGGGGAGAGACTGCAATCAGGTTAGCACAATATAAAATTATTAAAACAAAGTCGAGTCTAACCTGAAAAAAGGAACGCAACAAAATAACGAACGTGTCGGCAGAAAGCGTTCGTCAGCGAACAAAACAACAGAAAAAAACAATAAAATTTAAAAATAGCACTTAGCTTAAAAGCAGTATCCATGGGCCGCAAATGAATTGCGACTGAAAATAAGTGGGTGAGAGATTTAATAGGGAAGAGGGAAAGAAAAGATGAGAAATAAGTCCTCTGCGATAGGTTGGGACGCGAAGAGGCGGAGCCAGGTTTAAGCTGTGAAAGGAGACATGACGTTCATACCATGTGGCGACAATTTGCTATAAGTCAGGGTAAGCTTGTGCTCCAAATTCACCCGGTTGGTATGTTCGTGCTATTCACGATCGCACATATTGAAAAGTGCGTCTTGCCCTGTAGGTCGCCACTATTGAAGTGTTTGGAGAGGGGACACTGTTTATCTTGTGTAATTATACGGAGGTGTTCGGTACACCTGTCAGAGAGTCGGCGTCCAGTCTCCCCGATGTGAGTCATCTGGCAGCGGGTGCACACAATTGCGTAGACAAATTTAGGATTGTACAAAGGAAACCACCGCGCACATGAACACTGACCAAAGGGAAACGTATGTGTTGAGTCTGGACGCAAAAAGGCAAGTGTTGCAACGGCTGCGTCCACATGATTTGGTCCAAAAATCCGAGGGGGCAGCGTTGATGCGACTGTGCACAAGGAGGTCTATCAGATTTTTATCCCGTCTGAAAACAATGAGATGTCGGGAAGAGAAAATTTCTCGTTTGTCTGTGTCTGCGAATAGTATAGAACGTTTTTTTTTTATAGGAAAAAACGATTAGCTATAAGATTATTAAAGGTGATAAGTGATAAAAAGCTTGGTCCTCTCAACATCGTCACTCAGACGTTGCCTGAAGGCATCAGCACGGGTAATATTCTTAACCATTTGAAAGACTGATGAAAGTACTGTCCCCGGGTAAGACCTACATCGGAAATAGTCTATCATCTCAAATGCTTTGTCCCACAAGTCCTCATCCGACCGAAAAAGTCGATGAATACAAAGTTATTGAAAAAAAAGGAATCCATTCATCCCTGTAGCGCTACAGCCCATGTAGGGCTTTGGCCTGCCTCACTACTTCCTTCCACTCAGACCTAACTAATGCCTTTCTTTTCCATTCTTGGACTTTTAACTGCTGTAGATCTTTTTCTACATCATCTATCCACCTAAGCCTAGGTCTGCCTTTGAGCCTTTTTCCTCTGGGGTATTGGTGATGTACCCTCTTCGTTCCTCTGTCAGAAAAAAGGAATAGAGCCTTTATTTGATTTTAGGGTTGAATGAAGAGTAGAGTAGATAGCTGTGACTGTCAGTGGGGCTCAAAGCAGGCAGAGATGAGTAGGCTGTCTTTATGAAGAGTAGAGTAGACAGCTGTGACTGTCAGTGGGGCTCAAAGCAGGCAGAGATGAGTAGGCTGTCTTTATGAAGAGTAGAGTAGATAGCTGTGACTGTCAGTGGGGCTCAAAGCAGGCAGAGATGAGTAGGCTGTCTTTATGAAGAGTAGAGTAGATAGCTGTGACTGTCAGTGGGGCTCAAAGCAGGCAGAGATGAGTAGGCTGTCTTTATGAAGAGTAGAGTAGATAGCTGTGACTGTCAGTGGGGCTCAAAGCAGGCAGAGATGAGTAGGCTGTCTTTATGAAGAGTAGAGTAGATAGCTGTGACTGTCAGTGGGCTCAAAGCAGGCAGAGATGAGTAGGCTGTCTTTATGAAGAGTGACTGTAATGTCCAGAACGTTGTCTGAGGTCTCAGAGACAAGAGATGTGAATCTATTGAAGGGTTGAAAGAAGCCTACAAAGTAAATGAACACGTCAAGTGCACTCATCTCCAAAGCGGTGTACTCTATCCCGTCATCTTTGTACCTCTTATAAAATTCAGGGAGGCGTCCAGAATATCTGCTTTCGACCAAGTGTTTGAAATGCCCCATGAGCAAGCATGCATCCTGTGCAATTTGTGGGGAAGCGATGCTGCTATCCTAACGGCCGTATAGCGGATACCAGGGCAGCCTTTGATCTCTCGATTAATGTCGATTTATGTGGGAAGAATGATTGTCTTTATTGGACTTTGTTACACAGAGGCACAGTGAATGCACTATTGTTTCGGATGTAATTTCCTGTAATACAAAACCTTGTAAAGGACAGCAACTGATAAGTTATATCGAAGTTCGTGTTGAGAAATTAGAAGTGACAAAAGAAGTTATAGTTTTGTTTCTCTTTAAATGTAATGTTAAAATGCGATGAAATTCTGCAGTTAACAATTGAACGATTGTATCACTATTGTATCGTTCCTTCCAGAGTTCTTACAACATTGAGTGGTACCTCTGGTCAAGTTAAAATAAATTTATGAAGTTACAAGATGTCTGGCTGCGTTATAATGATACAAATAACATCATAAACAAACACTTTTAAAAATCTGTTAAAAATAAGCTAATTTTGTAGCAGATAAAATTCTTTTTGCTAGGTTAAAACCAGTAAATCTTGTGGTCTTTTTTTTCTCTCTTTTTTTTTAAATCAGTATAGATCCCTTCTTTTTTCTATCAAATATTACACATTATGATTTGTTGAAATCGTTTTTGCTGTTTACGTGTGTGGTGCATATGTCTCTGCTGTATAAGTTCTGAGAGTCTGTAGTGTACGAATGCTACGTGCATCTTTTGAGGCAAGTAGGGTGTCACAGGGAGACCGTTACGCCATTGTCAGAGTACTTTCAACAGATCAGCCGATGGTGGGAGAGTAGAAGGACCATGAATGGCTGTCCCCTGCGGCTCTTATCCCTCGGTGGGAAGTGTGTGAATGTGAGTGTTTATGCAGTCGTCTTTGACTTACGTTAGCATGCCTCGCAGCCTGGTTCAAGGATTTAATTACTATCTCGTTGGACGTTGGCGGCTGGGGGGTGTTAGGGGGAAGGAACGAGCGAGTATATGAGCGACACAGATCCCAGTTAATTTACTGACCGCCACCGCAACCCTCACAGGAGTCTTCTCTCGTGCGTGTTTACATTTAGACCTGGAACTAGCTTGTACCGGTTATCGGAGATTTGATCGAAGGAAATTTTTGATCAACGGAAATTTGATCGAACAGAAATTTGGTCGAATCTTTTTTTTTTTCAGTCCACACGTTAATATTTTCTTCAAATTGATGTTTGAACACACTATATTATATAGTAAAACAAAATAATGCGTTTAAAAAGAAATTTAAAAAATTTTTAACGTCGACGAAATTCCTTTCGATCAAATTTCTGGATTCGGCTTGTACCAGTTTTGCCAAAGTAACCACATAGAGAGTTCAGGGTGTTTGTACGGTGTCTGAATGTAGAAGCTCTTTGGTAGTTCGTGTGACTCATTGATAAGCTAGGTAGACACTTAGTTAATTTGGAAATTATGGTAAGTAGTTCGGTGGGGCTCAGTGTGTCCCATATAGTGTAGTGGTGATTTCTTTACAGGCTCAGTGTGTCCCATATAGTGTAGTGGTGATTTCTTTACAGGCTCAGTGTGTCCCATATAGTGTAGTGGTGATTTCTTTACAGGCTCAGTGTGTCCCATATAGTGTAGTGGTGATTTCTTTACAGGCTCAGTGTGTCCCATATAGTGTAGTGGTGATTTCTTTACAGGCTCAGTGTGTCCCATATA